AATACCTGCATATATATGCAACATTAATTAATTATGACACAAGTTCCGAATCCGATATTAATTGAGTAAATTACAAATGGATCACTTACACTGAGGGTCTCTCCAACGATCACAGTAAAAGAGTTTGGTGAGGGTTTTAGTTTGAGCCATTCGCCATCTTTATTTTGAATCTCCAATCCATCAACCTCGTTATTTTGATACAAAAGGGTCGACCAACCTACATCATAGTGAGGAGGAAGAAGGTCGTTGCTTTGGGTTTGCCCTTCATATTTCGTGAGTCTCAGAGTAAATTTCGTGAGATCAATATGCTCCTTGACATACTTGTCATGATCAAGACCAAAACTGTCCAAAATCATTGTCCTTATTGTCTTGTCTAATCCTAAAGCAAGCTCTGTGAAACATAGCAAAGTTTTGCTGCCAATTCCAAAGCAGAGCTAGCTGTTAAAATTACACATAATTTTTAATTTTAATTTGCAGTCCACAAAACAAATTATATAACGGTAAAGTTATTTGCACTACCATAAGCTACACTATTTTGCTACACTACCTATATCCAACGGTTGTTATTCAAATTAAGCCCACATCCAACGATTATAAATAGTAGTGTACAAGAGATTCCGACCAGACTGGAGTTTTACTCTAATTTCTTGTTAATAAAATTCTTTACTTTGCCTTTCAAAAGAAAAAAAATTCTGACCTGAAACTTGGGTTTCCTTGAGGCCACAAGATGTTAGTAAGGCTTTGTTGAATGTATTCTTCATCTACATTCCAATTCAAATTCTCAATTTGGAAGCTTTCAGTCACTAGTGCCCTCTTGTAGCCACCGATGAGGGTCTCAGAAAAACAACGTTCTTTGGTTTCAAGAGGGAGGTCAAAAACCTCTTCCAAGGCACCAATGAATGGCTTCCGAACCTCCATGAGTCTGTCGAACGAAGCCTCAAAACAGCCATACTCCTTGAGCGCTTCCCGGACTTGGACTTTCAACACATCCCATTCAGGGGTCCCTGGCTTCAAGTCTTGATTTGAGAAATCTATCACCGGAAGCTTCACCCAGTTTTCAGCGCTCATCCTTTATTGTTGTTGTTGTTGTCTCTGTAAAAAAGAGAGATTCAAATTTTCATCTTGCTTTTTGCACACCACATCTCGTTTTATATAATTAATTGATGGAATTTTCTTTTGAAAGGCAAAAAGGATTTATTCATATATTTAATTGATGGAATTTGGTTTGTCATTTGATCAATTATTTAGCTACATCTTTCATCTTTATTAATTTCTCTCAACTACCTACTCAAAAAAAAAAAATTCTCTCAACTACCAGGCCATATCTTTAAGGATGATTATATGATACACCGGCAGTGTAAATTTTGGACTCCACAAGCGGCTTGTGGAGTTGACACATGTCCCTTTTTTGAATTAATTAAGTTTTAAATATTTCAATCTAGTCCCTAAGGGACACATGTCACCCTTTAGGACCCGCTTGTGTAATTTTCTAAACTCCACCACCGGTGTATTGTATAATTTGCATATCTTTAATTATTTCATCTTTATTTGTATGTTTTTTTTTCTTGCTAATGAAAATTAATGGCACTTGATTAAAGAGGAAGTTCACATGATTTTCCATTTAGGATGACAACAATATTCTTATATTATCGGATGGTTTTTTGGCCTTCTATGAGAGATTATCTATGATAATCACATGAATTCTTGAACTAAAATTCCCGCTGTGAAATTCTGGTTATCTGAATAATTTTCAAGGGTATATAGTGACACAATTTACTAATTTATATTTATTGCTTCTGAAGAATATTGACACCACTAGACCAACCTGCCACTGCATTTATTTATTCATCAACATCCTTCATCTTTAATTTCTCTCAACGACCACATGACGACATATCATGTGCTAAATTGTATGTGAATTTAAAGCACACAAGGACGTAAACCTACTTCGCTGCGGGTATGCGCGGCGGAGGGATGGGGGGTAGCAGGGCCATGGCCTCAAAGTATTGGATGGTTTTTTGGCCTTATAAATTATGACATGATTCTTGAACTAAAAATCCCACTTCGAAATTTTGGTTATTGGAATAATTTTCAAGGGTATGGTAAGACAATTTACTAATTTATATTTAGTATTAATTATATTGACACCAGTGACGAACCTGCCACTGTATTTATATAATTCCATATGAATATTTGCCTTAGTGTACAATAAAAAACAAGATTCCGTACTGAAGTTGAAATTAATTAAGGTTAATGAACCTAGGGTGTGCAATCGGTCGGTTTTAGTTTTTCGGATCGGTTTTTCAATTTAACCGACTTAACCGACACATATTTATAGAAACCGAAACCGACCCGATTATATAAGGAACCGATGAAAATCGAAGGTAATCGGTTTTGCAGTTTCAGGTCGGTTTAGGTTTTGAACCGAATATACTTTAGTTAGTTTTTTTTTATTTAGTTTATATATTTTTATATTTTAGAATTAAGATAAATGTAAATTAAAAACATATATTTTGATTTTCGATTATTAATGTTACATATATTTAAATATTTTCAAATTTTTAATAACATATATATTAAATTTAAAATTAAAAGATCAAAAGTAAACATATATATTTTCAACTTCGATTTCTCGGGTCGGTTTCGGTTTCCATCACCATACCGACAACCGACCCACTAACCCGAATAAACACACTCTTAAACCGAATAAACCGTGAAACCGATTGACTTGTTTCGATTTAACCGATTTCGGGTCAGTTTCGGTCGGGTAATTCGATTTACCCGATACTTGCACACCCCTAAATGAACCTGAAGCTTGTGTCTTCGGGCCACAAAGTATTGGCAAATCTTCTACACTTTTTTTTTTTGAAAAATAGATAACTTTCATTCATGTAACTGATTTTACAATAATTTTAGGAATATCATCCCTCGTTACATCAAATCTTAGTAAAACTACGTAATCGATTACTTTTTGCACCGGAAAAACTGGATCTTCCTTGAAAATCCAAAACACCTGTCGTGAATCATGTTGATGTCTCGCTATCACGCACATCACTCACTCGTTGTCGCTTGTTCTTCCAAACAAAAAGCTTTGATCAACGATGATCGAGTGATTGATTCGATGAACAGATCTCTTCCTTGGCACCCAAAAGAAAAGAATTACAACGATTTTACCACAGATCTAAATAAATAAAAGGTTGATCATGCTTAAAACTATCATAAAATTCAGACTGGATAACTCAGATTCAAAAAGAACTGAGACTAGACTCGAAACTAACTAAAAAACAAACTGACTCAAATCGACTAAAAAAAACTCAAATAAAACTGGTCAGATCTGTAGATCTGAATCTCTTATTGAAAACAAAAACCAAATCCTCTTTCTCCCCCTTGGCGTGACAACCAAGGAGGAGGAGGAGTAGTCGAAACACCAACTAGAACTAGAGAGGGAGAAGGGGAGAGGAGCGGCTAGGGTTGGGGTATTAAGTTTGGTATTTTTGTTTGGACTTGTAAATTGTAATAAAAACCGACGGCAAATCTTCTACTTGTTCAGGTTTTGCTTTGATAAATCTACAATTGGAAGCTTAACTGGGGTTTCAGCTGAGCCCATATCTAGCTTTCTCATTTGCCAGAAAATGAAGAATATTGCACAATGGAAAATTATTAAAGCGAGATATATATTTTCAATGTGTATAGAATATGATTTATATAGACATTCCGTTAATTAATTAATGTTGTTGTTCATGTATTAGGCCTAATCGGCAAGGGTCTAGTGAAAAAACTGTGAAAGGCTATAGCCGATTTTTTTCTTCCTATATATAAAAAGTGAAATATTTAAACTTTGTCTCATATATTATTCTCAAAAGTGATTTCTGAAACGAAGGTTTTTCTTCTGGTTAAACAAGCTATATATATATGATGTTCAAGATTTAATGTTCACGAAAATACAATAATTGTTCTCAATATGATCCATATTATTTACAGGTCAATTATCTAAACATGATTCAATTATTTATTTGATCTTCTAAAAGATTTAATGTTCACGAAAATTCAATAATTGTTCTCTTAGAGTGCGTTTGTTTTGTTTACTTTCCTGGGAAAGTAATAGGATGGAAACACTCTTCATCGTTTGTTTTGATAATTTTAGATGGGAAAATAATTTTAAGGGCACCTTATAAGGCACCTACTTTCCTTATTAGATGGGAGAATACTTTCACACAGGGGGAGTAGGGAAAGTGTTTTCTCACCCATAGAAAGTGTAAATATCATTAAAATTGGATTATTTTCTAAGAAAAATGCTGATAAACCAAACCATTGATACTACTCTCCATGGAATTTAATTATTACTTTCCCTAGAGTTACTTTCCCTGAAATCACTTTCCCATGGAGAGTTATTCCATGGAAAGTAACAAACGACCTCTAAAATATAATAATAAACAAGAGGCTGCCTATGGCTCTCTACTTATATCCAAAACCGAGCTCTCTACTTGTCGAGTATAAAAGGAAAGTGACCACCTAGAAAGGCCCGGATGGCCCTAAATTAAAAGGGCGCCTAACTCATCTAACTTGAAAAGCCCCAATAAATCTTAGCAGTATGTTAATTAAGGCCCAAATAGTATAAATTTATATTTGATTCTCCGAATAGGTTTTTTTTTTAATTTACTACTTTTTTTTAGCATTGAAGAGGACCTCCTTAAATCACCTGAAATCCCTCCTCTCGTTAAATCATTATTCTTAACTATAGATCACTTGAAACTATCTCCTTCTAAACTATCCAGCATGGAGGTTGCCTCATCTATCGACACTCCCCCAGTTCAGGATCAGACGTTGGTGGGGAAAAATGTTTCAGAGAGGGAGGTATTTAAAGATATGGTTGTTGTTCAGGTTGAGCAAGGTGATGGCATGCAGGTTGACGCTGGTTTGAACCAGCAAATTACTTCAATTGTTTCTTGATGAAGATAGTGGTTTGGAATAGCAGAGGCATTAGTTATGCCAAATTCAGAATGACAGTCGAAGAACTCATTAAGGTTCATAAACCTGATATTTTGTGTCTCCTTGAGATTAAAGCAGATGAAACTATGGTGAAAAGTTTGGCTAAACGTTTACGTTTCACAGATGTTTTTACAGTGCCCTCTCATAGTATGGCGGGAGGTATCGCTCTTTTTTGGAATTCTTCTAGCATTAATATTGACGTTTTATCGTATTCTGAGCAAGTTGTTCACACGATGATTGAGATCAATTCAGTGAGTCAGATTTTTTCCTTTGTGTATGTGAGGCCGAATAGTTTGTATAAAGAGAATTTTTGGACTGATTTGGTTGCTTTCTCTAGTAATATTTCTTCGCCTTGGAGTGTGGTAGGCGACTTTAATGATTTTGCTGCTGTTAGTGAGAGGTGGGGTGGAGCAACTACGGCAGCGAATTGTTTAAACATGATTTTGAAGTTTAGATCTTATTGGGAAGCTTGTAACCTGTTTGATGCAGGGTCTTCAGGCTGTCGGTTTACCTGGATTAAGAGAGTTGGGGGTCGTATAGTGTTACAAGAGAAACTGGATCGTGCTTTATGGAATTCGGAGGCTTTGTTGGTTAATCCGAATGCAAAAATTATAGTTCTTCCTTGCTTGTGTTCGGATCATCATCCTTTGTTGTTGGATTTTGACTGTGTTAGGCCGACGGGAGGTAGTAATAAGCCTTTTCGTTTTGAAGCTGCCTGGTTAACTCATTCAGATTTCACCGGTATGTTCTCCTCGGCATGGGGAAGAGGTGGTGGTAATTTATTGAATTCAATTGAGGAAGTAACGAAAGAGTGTAAGGTTCGGATACAACAAGTTTTTGGTAGCATTCATAAGAAGAAAAGAATTCTTTTGGCTAGAATTAGGGGTATTCAGAATTGTGATTATTATGCGGACTCTGATTTCCTCCATCAGTTGGATATTTGTCTTCGTGAGGAGTACCACCAGGTGCTACGACAAGAGGAACTTTTGTGGCTGCAGAAGTCGAGGTTAGATTGGGTGGCTCATGGTGATAGGAATACAAAATTTTTCCATCTTACTACTATGGTTAGACGCAATAGAAATATTATTACAGGTTTGAGTAGTGGGGGGAGATATGGTTGACGGATCAGGATGCTCTCTGTAGACCATATTATTGATTTTTTCTCCAATTTATTCAGCCAGAAGAAGAATTTTCCTTTTCAAAAGGTATATGATGAGTTTGCTTTGAAGTTGTCAGCGAAAGAGAAATTAGCAGTATCAGCAGAGCTACAGTTAGATGAAGTCAAACTAGCAGTGTTCTCAATGAAAGGGTTAAAATCTCCAGGTGTAGATGGCATTCAACCAATTTTTTACCAATGTAATTGGGAAATTTTGAAGAATACCCTTTTCCAGTTTGTTAACTCGGCATTAGCAACTGGTAAGGTTGATTTAAAAATGCCGGGGGCTCACATGGTTTTGATTCCAAAGGTGCCAAATCCAACTTCAGTGAAAGAATTTCGACCTATCACTCTTTTGAACACATCTTATAAGATTTTGTCTAAAGTCTTGGTGAATAGGTTGCGACCTGTGTTACAAAGAATTATTGGACCCTTTCAGAATAGCTTCCTTGCTGGCCGTAGCACCACAGATAATATTTTAATCACACAGGAAGTTGTTCACTCACTAATGGGTTGTAAGGGTCGATCAAGAGGGATGATTTTGAAGATTGATCTACAAAAGGCCTACGACAATGTTTCATGGCGTTTTGTCAGTGAGGTACTTAAATTCTTTGCTTTCCCAGCTGATTTGATAAACTTGATTATGTTTTGTTTAACAAATATAGATCTTGCTGTAATTTGGAATGGAGATGTGCTACCTTCTTTTAAACCTCAGCAAGGGCTCCGTCAAGGTGACCCTTTATCACCATATATCTTCATTTTGGTGATGGAGAGGCTTTCCCATATGATTTTGGAATATGTCGAGCATAAGATTTGGCAGCCTATAAAATCTTCACAATCGGGCCCTAAAGTGTCACACCTGTTTTTTGTCGGATGATTTGTATGCTATTTGTCAAAGGACTTCGGTAGGCGCAGGTAGATGTTATTTTGGTAAGTCTTAGAGGAGTTTTCTAAAGCATCGGGGCTTTCGGTGAATTTGGAGAAGTCAAAGATTTGGGTTTCGCCTAATGTTCATCGGCAAAAGGCAATGAGTTTAAGCCGACAGTGTGGCATCCCTCTCACGCAGAATTTGGGAACTTATTTGGGTGTTCCTATTATCCATGGGCGGGTTTCGAAGGTGACTTATGGCCACGTGGTGGATAGAGTGCTGAATAAGTTGACAAGATGGAAGGGGAAAGTTTTGAGTTATGCAGGGAGGAAAACTTTGATTCAAGCTACTTTGAGCTCAATCCCCACTTATACCATGCAGAGTGCATTGTGTTTGTAGGCCTAAAGGTAATGGGGGTTTACGACTTCGAAAGGCTAAGCTTGCGAATGTGGCTCTTCTGGCTAAGACGGGATGAAGTTACAAACGAGACAACAATCTTTATGTTTGGATGTTTTTTCAAAAGAAATATTTGAAAGGAAAACAGTTCATTGATGCAGATGGAAGAGGTTGATGTTCTTCGACTTGGAGGGGAATTTTAAAACTAAAAACTGTGTCCAACGGGGTTTGCGGTGGTCTATTGGGGATGGTAATTCGCCTAGCTTATGGTTTGACTAGTGGGTTGGTGATGGCCCTTTATTAAAAGATATTCATTTGCCCGCCCAGATTCTATCTCCCAATACGAAAGTTGACTCTATCATTGATGTGGATGGTAATTGGAATTGTGATAGTATTCTTCATTTTCTTCCGCCTGCTAAATTAGAGGAGATTCGAGCCATACCTCTTTTTTTGCGGGCAAGAGAAGGAGATCGATGTATTTGGGGTTGGGATAAGCACGGTGTTTTTTCAGCTCGGTCGGCTTATAAAGGGTTAGCCAATCATGACACTTCTGATGCGTGGGCAGGAAATGCTTGTGGATTTGGAAGCTACCAGTGCCGGAAAGAGTAAGGTTTTTTATTTGGTTGTTGTTTTTCAATTGCCTGAATACTCGGGAAGTTTTGAACAGGAAAGGTATTCATTCATCTATGGAGTGTTCCTTATGTGAAGCTAACATAGAAAATGTGGATCATATTTTTCGTTCATGCCCCTTTTCGATAGGTTTATGGAGTTGTGTTTACCGTCGCTTTGGGGTTCAATTGGAGGGAATCGATTCTTTTCAGGATTGGCTACAGCTCAATTCGACGAAGGTGCGAAAGGTTCGTGCTAGATTATGTTGGACCTCGCTTTTTCCTTCGGTATTATGGAGCCTATGGAAAGCTCGCAATAATTGGATTTTTAATGGGATTCGACCTTGTGTGGAAGCCATCATGGGCTATGCCATTCAGCTTGCTTCAGATTCTTTTGCGGCTTTTAGTAATCTGTTAGGAGATGTTACAAGAGAAGGGAGATTGATAACCTGGCAACCTCCACCTAATGGCACTTGTATTTTGAATACAGATGGCTCCCGTTGCTTTGATGATGGGCATGCTTCTGCTGGTGGATTGATTCGTAACTCGGAGGGGAGATGGATGTTTGGTTTCTTATTGAATACTGGTAGGACAGGAAGTTTGGAAGCTGAGCTTTGGGGTATTCGACAAGGTATTATTATGGCAAAGAACCGTGGGATACAACGCTTAATCATTGAATTTGATGCTCAAGTTGTGGTTCAGTTCTTACGCAGTACAGTGTTAGCATCACATCCTTGCTATACTCTGATTAGAGACTGTTTGGAGCTCATTAATAGTGATTGGATTGTGGATATTAGGCACATCTGTCGGGAGGGCAATCGTTGTGCAGATCATTTGGCAGACTTGGCGCACTCGGCACCGAATGGAGTCAGTTTACTTGAAGATCCCCCGGATTCGACTACCTCTCTTTTGGAGGATGATCGAGCGGGTAGAGGAGTATTAAGGCTTTAGCTTTGTTGTTTTCTTTTCATTGTTCTTAAGTAGCAAATAAATCTCCTTCTAAAGTTTAAATCTTAAATAATTCTCGGTTTTTACTGTCAAAAGTTTAAATCTTGAATAACACAAGCATGCAAAACTAATCTTACTATATACTCCCTCTGTCCCATAATATAAGTCCATTTTAACTGTATCACAAAGTTTAAGAAAAGTAGTTACAACTCTAACTTCTATAAATTTTTATCTTCTCTTTCCAATTTTGTCCCTCTTCTCTCTCCCTCCACTAAATCTTTCTCCTCCCACTTACTCCCTCTAGTCATAGTCAATAGATAAATTAAATTCCAACTAAATTTCTACTACCACTAACAAGGATAATTTAGATAACTTAGGTAAAAGATGCATGGGGTTTTAAAAAGGGAGTTATATTTTGGGACAAATAAAGTTTCTAGAAGGGGACTTATAATATGGGACAGAGGGAGTATATATGCTACTATTAAAATCACAAAATCAAAAGTTGTAATTGGAAAATTTCATAAATACCCTTAGTATTATATTATAATAATTTTTTAACTTGAAAAGCCCCAATAAATCTTAGTAGTATGTTAATTGAGGCCCTAATAGTATAAATTTATATTTGATTCTCCGAATAGGGTTTTTTTATTTACTTTTTTTTTCAAATCCGAATAGGTATTAGAGTTAACAAACTAGTACTCTTTCACAATTCTCGAAACTTTTTTCTACTCTCATTAAAAGTATTTTTTGAATATTTTCATGTGCCGATTTAAGCACTGAAGAGGAACTCCTTAAATCACCTGAAATCCCTCCTCTCGTTAAATCATTATTCTTAACTTCTATAGATCACTTGAAACTATCTCTTTCTAAAGTTTAAATCTTGAATAAAACAAGCATGCAAAACTAATCTTACTATATATATATATATATATATATATACTATTAAAATCACGAAATCAAAAATTGTAATTGGAAAATTTCATAAATACCCTTACTATTATATTATAATAATTTTTTTAAGTATTCTTTTTAGTCATTTAACTTTCTTTTTAGATAATTCAACTTTTTTATTAATTATGGAAAGATATTGTAAATCAAATAGTTAACTTTTTTAAATTATGGAAAGTTATTAATAATCCACTATAATCATAATTAATAATTTACTTCTAATAATTATTTTTAGATTATAATATATTTAATTATAATAATAATAATAATATTATTATTATTATTATTTATAGTTATGGAACTTTTTATTTTAATTATGTGAAGATATTGCAAATATAAAATATAATTATAATAATTTACTACCCATAATTATTTGAAATAGTTTTTACTTGTAGTTTATATTTATTTAATTTAAATAAATTATGGGCATTAAGGAAAAAAAATTAGTTTAATACTTTAAATGTTTAAAAAAAATTTGGTCTTATGCCGAGGTTGTCAAGATTAAAGTTTCCTATATGCCAAGGTAAAAAAATTGATGGTTTACTTTCATTTGGCAAGTTTCCCACGATAATTGGGTGATTCCAAAACAGTGCTTCAATAGACAATATTCTTTCCAAAAAATTTTTTTTAAAAAAATTGGTTTAATACTTTACATCATCAAACCAAAAAAATTTTAACATTGGATTTAAAAATTTGTTTTTATCGAACATTTGAATATTGTTTCAATTTAATTAGAGATTAATATAGAAAAAATAAGATATATGATATTAAAAGCGTGAAAAGCTCTCCGATCTTTTTGACGTTGAATTATATATTTTTATGAGTATTTTAGCCAAAAAATGAGGAGATATCTTTCGTGTCAATTTTTGCAAAATTTTAGCTGAAATCGTGTACTAACTAACCATCATCGTTTTGGACTAAAAATGCGTTCCGGGGACTCCGCTCAATTTTGCATGATTTTTGGCTCCGAGACTAGGGATGGCAGCGGTGCGGATATCCGCCAAAATCTCAATATCCAAATCCATATCCGTTAATTATCCGCATATTTTTGAAAACCATTAACCCAATCCGCACCACCACCGCGAGGTATTATCCGTATCCACTCCGTATAATCCGTTTATGAAGCAGATATCCATTTAAAATCCGAATCCGACTAAAGCGCATAATTTATAGATAAAATTTTTGTCTTACAGAATTTAATACCAAATAAAAACACAGACTTGATAAATAAATACAATTAAACAAGTTCACAAAGTTTAAATTGCTCTAATCCAATTAAAACAAGTTAGTGCACATGCACATATGATGTATGATATATGACATAACATGTGATAACAAATCCTGAAACTTCATTCTTCAAATAAGAACTTGCTAAAATAAATTGAAGAGTTAAAGTTTATGAACAATGGAAAATTGGAAATCTCAAATCTATACGTGTATAATATATTTTACCTTTTCTTCATTCCACCAAATGATTAAAAATGCTTTCAATTTGATTCATCCACATCCTCTTCAGCAATGTACAAACAATAAGAACTAGCATCAATTTGATATAAATATATATATAAAGTAGATGTTATTCTAATGATAAGATACTTCACTTGAAAAATATTAATGTGCATGCATTTTTTACCTTTTTTTTCATTTGAATTCGACAACCAATTTTGGGAACACATCAACGCCTCCAAAGTGTTAGGATGAAGCCTACTTCGATGAGGGCTAACCACTCTCCCACTAGTACTAAAAGCAGATTCGGATGCAACAGTTGAAACCGGAAGTGCAAGAATATCCTTAGCAATCTTTTCCAAAGTAGGATACCTTATACCCAATGTCTTCCACCAATTAAGAATATCAAAATCTTGAGTCCATGGCAAAGTAGCTCAAGATAATGATCCAATTCAGAATTGACGGTGCTCGAATTACTAGAGGACTGATTAGGGAAAAGATACAAATGGGCTCCTTGTAGAGTTTGTATGAGAAAGAAGCGTAAGATGAGTAGAAGGGGGGTCACGAAAATTATTCTTGGAGATAAGGCAGTAACTGATTTCAATTCAGACATATCTCTTTCAGATGAAGACATTAGGGCCCGGAATGAAATCTTGAGAAGAGAAGCAGAGGAAACTTTCGATACTTGTGCGGCGTTGGGTATTAAATTTTGTGAAAATAGGGGTCAACTCGTATCTAGATTACTGACTCTTGAAGGAGATGATTGAGCTTAGATGGCTTCTTCCTCATGCGGTTTGCTTTTTTTCTTATGAAGATTCTATGTTGGAATATACGAGGCCTTGGAAGAAAGGAAAAGAGAAGATCTGTTAGAAATGTAGTTGCTAAGAATCAAGTTAAGTTCTTGATGATTCAAGAAACAAAAATGGAGAAAGCTGATGGCAGTTTGGTGAGATCAATTTGGGGAAAGAATAGCTCAGAATGGAAAGCTTCGAATGCAGTGGGTTCTGCCGGCGGTCTGATTTCGGTTTGGGATGCTGATTTTTTCTCCCTGGAGCTGGCTATTACTGAACCAAGATATGTGCTTTGTGTAGGCTGTATAAAGCAAAACGGTTTTCAGTGTGTGATTGGTAATGTGTACGCACCAAATGAAGAGAGTGAAAGGCAAAGGATTTGGGAGGAAATTGCCGATTTGAAGAAGCAATTTGATCGGCCTTGGATCCTTGGTGGAGATTTTAATACGGTGTTGGCAGTGGATGAAAGATCAGGGGTTTCGGCTAATGCTCAAGGTATGAGTTCCTTTTGTGAATTTGTTAATCAGCTTCAATTTGTGGATCTACCGTTGATGGGGGCTAAATTTACATGGGGTAATGGTAGGAAGTTTCCTTCTTTTAGCCGTTTGGACAGATTTTTGGTTAGCACTGATGTTCTTCTTAGCTTTCCGGAGTTGAAACTAAAAGCTAAGCCAAAGTCTTTATCTGATCATAATCCCATCTTACTTTTTGTTGAGAATTTAAATTGGGGTCCTAAGCCCTTTAAATTTTTCACTCACTAGCTAGAAACTGAAGGTTTCCAGGAGATGTTTTCTAAAGCATGGAGTGATATTAATAACAGTGGCAGCAGGGTGACTGATATCTATGAGATGATGAGACTTCTTAAGCCAAAAATCAGAGAGTGGTATAATGTGTTCTGCAAAGTTGATCAACAGAAAATTGAGGCTCTGGAGAGTGACATTCATGAGATGGAATTACAAATTCAGCAAGGAAATAGCACGGAGGATTTCAGAATGGTGATGGTAGAGAAGAAAGGTCAGTTGTGGAAACTATATAGGCAAATTGAGAGGTCTTGGCAACAAAAATCAAGACTGAAATGGCTTAGAGAAGGCGATAGGAATACGAAGTTTTTTCAGTTAACGGCAAGCATTAGAGCTAGAAGGAATCATATTGGTCAAATTGAAATTGATCGTGAAAGAAGGTAAGTGAAAGAAGGTAGTAGAATGGTGGATCAGCCCGAGGAAGTGAAAGAAGGTATTGCAAATTTCTTTGAGAAATTTTATAATATGAATACTGCTGCAAAAGTGGAGAAGTTTGATGTTAATTTCAGTCAATTGTCGGACGAGCATGCTATTTGGTTAGAAAGACATTTTGAAGAGTCTGAAGTATGGGATGCTATCATGGATTTTGATGGGAATAAAGCTCCGGGCCTTGATGGTTTCAACATTAATTTTATGAAGAAACAGTGGTTGTTCTTGAAAGAAAAGATTATGGAGTTTATGTTTGATTTTTATAAAGGGATTTTTAACTTCAACGTTAATAACTCTTTTATCACTTTGATCCCTAAATGTGATGGAGCCTCTAAGATTGAACAGTTTCGTCCTATCAGTTTAGTGGGCAGTTTGTACAAAATTCTTGCCAAAGTTTTGTCTAGAAGATTGAAGCTTGTTTTACCAGAGGTTATTGGAGATTCTCAATTTGCTTTCATTAAGGGGATACAAATTTTAGACTGCTCTCTTATTGCTAATGAAGTGGTTGACTCTCTAAAAAAGAGCAAGGATGGGG